TCAGTAACCGGTTGGAGGCTTGGATACAGGAAGTTTTGTGTATCGGTAGCAGTCTTGAACATTGAGTGTCATAATAGTTATCGCTAGTAAGCAATTGATGACTGTGATGTGAAACTTCAGATTCAGAACTACTTCTCAACATTGTGATAATAATAAGAATCTCGACTGGGAAAACCAACCATTATCGATATTTTGGTGACACGAAATGATCCCATTTGATAATTGTGTTCTGAAATCAATTGATAGGCGGAATGCATCCATGAAGAACAGATATTGAAGGTTATGAGAAAGGAGTTTTTGTGGATATTATAGTAATTTAATAGTTGAATTCATGAGTCAATTAAATCTAGACCACCATGGAAAACCTGGAAGCACTGGACGGTCGTCTCATCCTGGTATGGGACTCCTCAGGGGTGCGCACCCTCGATCCTGCTCGCGGGATTCAAACCCAGGACCTACTGGTCACGCTCGCGAACGCTTAACCTTTGTAAAATAAGTGCTCATGTAATTCAGAAATTTGTAGTAATGAATAAAGAATTATTATTATCAAAAATAGAATGAAGCTGAAAATGTAGAACTCTTACGTAGTTGTTTGAAAGTGGCGGATATATCTGAAGATTATTAGTTTAATACCTGAGGATATTGTGAGTGTGAATAACTAAGGAGTCCTATTATAGAACAAACAGCTATTCAGTACTTTCTAGAGTTCAATGGTTATCTACCTGAAGTCAATTGATGTTGTAAATTATCTTCCAATCAAACAATCTTTAAGAAGTTTCCATCTTAGTGAACTTGAAACATATGGATAACTGGATTACACACGACGTAGTAATCGTAAGGCATTCATATCTTTCGTTTTATCCCAAATAAGATACTATGAGTAGTATATTAATTGAAGAGTATTTAAACCAAAACTAAACGATTATTTTATAATTTTCAGTTTTTTCAGATACATCAATCCATGGTGAAACCACCAAAAGTATATTTTTCTGTACTTACAATTGTGGTAAAAGTGAACTTTATCATCAAGTGACCTTGGGATCCTAACCCGATCTAATCAATTAAGAGGTAGCAAAGATATATGAATGATTTATTATATTAGAACTTAGCGTTTATGATCATTTTGTTAAACTTAGCGTATTTAAAAAACAGTGGATTATTGAGCGCTATGATTTATGATGTAAAATTTAGAACATAGAGTTACAGTTTGATTCAGGGATTTACTTTAAGATTAGGATTATATTTCACAGTTAGTTTATATGTAACGTTATGCATAGATAACATGTTGTTTTGTTTGATCTATACACCTTGATGTTGAAGCAGTTCGCACGACTAGGCGATATGGTTCAGCTTCATCTATAATTATGTAATTAAGATTAATCTAATACTTGTTGCATTTTCACTGAACAACTACTCCATAAGGTAATTATAATATCTTGCTAATTAACCAATATGAACACATTGTCTATATATTCATCATTATGAAACAGAGTTTCTTAAACATTCAAGTCGAAGTCACGTTAACAGTGTCACTTTTTATCAAACTACTCATATATATACATTAGCATACGATCAATAACGTATAGATGACTAATCGGAAATTTAAAAAAAGACCCAAGGTCACATGAATATGATGACTCATTTACGAATAGAACGCGTTATTTTATTTATATTTATAAAGATTTCTAAAATGAATGAACATTTATAGAGTGTGGTATAGTCAAAGTAATTAATTAAAATTAATTTCAATGGTTGAGATCATGAGTAAACTGAAGCTAGACCACCATGAAAAACCTGGAAACACTGGACAGCCATTTCGTTGTAGTATGGGACTCCTCAGCAGTGTTCATCCACGACCCCACCTCGCGAGATTCGAACCCAGGACCTATTAGTCTCGCGCTCGAGCGCTTAAACTCCAGACCACTGAGTCGGCATCCAACTGTGTTAATGTCTAACTCCAACTGATCCACGAAATTGAGCGACAAATCCACCATTGCCATCAGTGAGTTACTATCTCACAACATAATAATATGTTATTATTATTTTGTGTATAATATGAAGTAATCACTTTGAAATTAATTTAAGAAGATAGAATTCAATGTTAACAACTGTTCAGTGATTTAAGATAATTGACAGGAGACCCTGAACTTAGGTTTCATGTTACTTCACACACGTCAGTAACGTGTATCTGTAATATTGAGAAGACTGACACTCCCTGTTAGATCCGATAGTATTTGATCAATACAAAAGGATTAGATAAACATGACATTGATCACTGTTCCGTGAATAATTGTAAATGTTAATGACTATCCAGTAAAATACGAATATACATAAAACTTAACGAGTGAAAATCACATATTCTTCGTTGAAAGTATACTATACTGAGGAAGCAACCAGATTTGAGATATCAGCTCTTGAGTTTTCGCAAGAAAACTGAATAGCTTGTAAGTAAAGCCTGCCAATATTCAGCTATTAACTCAGAGTCTGTCTTATTGAGATCACGAACTGATCAATGTAAGATCACCATTGGAACCCTAGAAACATTGGACAGCCGTTTCGTTGTAATATTGGACTCCTCAGCAGTGCATATCCACATTCCTTTACGTATGACGCGAACCCAGGAACTTCGGTTTCTTGAGAGCATTTAATCTCGAGACCTCTAGTGTCTAACTTTAAGCAATCCAAGATATCGAGCGAACATCTTCGATTGTCCTCATTGGATAACTGGTTCACACCCGACACGGTTGTACTCCACTGGTCAAGGCTTCTGACTAGAACACTTAGAATCGACAGACATAACATGGCAATTTATTTTGTTACTGGACCAACCAACTGTGGTATTTGTACGAACTAATAATTCTTTTGTGCTTGAGTACTCACTTATTACGAATTCCAAATACAATACGTTCGTTTGTGCTTATAAAGTTCTATCTGACTTAAATTGCACTGTTTTGAGAATTCTTAGTTTGTACAATAATTTAAATCCTTCTAATCAACATAACAGCACAAATTATTTCATCGTTTTCTAGTTGACTAGGAATGTATACAAATAATGGTCCTTTTACTAAAGATTAATTCTTTTTGCACACAGGCCAGGTTACTTAATTACCTGCGCATTTTACCCCTCGCGAAAGCATAGGCTACTCACCAGAGTTCCTAAACCATCTCTGTCATGGACTCTCTTTTCCACTCCCTCGCAGGTGTTATTCATTCGCTTGATGTCTGTTTCTTCATTTTCCCTTCAGGATCTCAAGTAAGGACGTGCCTTGTGATGAATCTGACGATCTCCACAATGTTTCCTATCTACTTCTAATGTCTTTTCCTTATTTTATATTCAGCTAGAACCTGGTTTGTTCTCTCCCTCTCTCATGTAGACAACTGTTTATAAATACCTGTACCATTTTGATTATGGTTGAAGTAGTTTTCCCAATTTCAGCTCTGCACAATAGAACTGTCTTGACGTTCATATTGAAGATTATGATTTCGTTGTTGATGGATAGTTGTTTTGGGTTCCATATGTTATTCAACTGTGGGAATCCTGCACTTGTCTTGCCAATCCTTGCCTTTACATCTGCGTCAGATCCCTCTTGTTCATCGCTGATGCTGTCCAGGTACGTGAAGGATTCCACCCCTTCCAGACTTTCTCCTTCGAGTTTGATTTGGTTGACTCTGTCTGTGTTGTAGTTGAGGACCTGCTTTTTCACTTGTGTATGTTGAGGAGTACTGATGCAGAGGCTGCTGCTATACTGGCTGTATTCAACTACACAGATTAGGTTATGTCTTTTGATATTATGTGTCTCAGTGAAATATAAGGTACTAAATGGGGATAAACTACAATTTATGGTGTATGAGCATTACATTCAGACTACTGATTCAGAATTCAACCTCACTCAATTTATGACACAATGAACCAGTCATCTTTGCCTATCAGTAATACCTGTCTTATTCTCGATGTAGTTGGCGAGTGCCAAATAGCACGAAACCGAGGTCTAGGGTTTCCTGTTAACTACCTCTAACCATCATCTTATCTCAACATAGTGCACGCAATGTCGAGTCACCAAGACTGGTGGCCACATTGCAGCTTGGTCGATAGCATTCGGTCTGCACTAAGAAAGACCAGACACACATAAGATTGATCACCACCCAGTGATCAATCAATTGTGTAATACATTCACTAGGACCTGTTTTCATCTCTCTCTCTCTCTCTTTCTCTCTTATTACCATACCCCTTCAGACGACAAAAGTAGTTCAACGAATGAATCAAATCATTTGTTGACATTGTTGACATACTTCAGTTAAACTTTGTTTTCTAAAGTAATAATCGTGTAATGAACACATGCATTTTCACACTCATGAATGTATAAACATATCCAAATAGACAATTTTCACATAATACATTTGTTCACTTTATAAAAATATTTGAAGTAATAGTTTGTGTAAGTAAAGAAAAATAAATGATCAGTTTTTAGACTGGTCACTCGTCTGATATGTCATATACATATTCAAACAGCTGATTTTTCAATCGGTAATGTACTAATATTTCAATCGATTTCTAATCGTTTTTGTTACTGTCTTGTTTTTTTTGTTGTTGTTGTTGTTGACTGTATCTACCTCCTGGATTATCTCTTACGAAATACAATCCAACGTGTAAAACAGTCTACTATTTATGCTAAACTTTAAAAACTTTCTCTAATAAATCAAGTGTAATAAGCTTTTTCTTAAATGTCGTACATTGAACATTTAATTTTCCGCCCTTTCGATACGTTTATTTAAAACAATTCAATATTATTATTATTCTTTCTTAATTTAGTTAATTTAAAACGAACAATATGGATGCTAAATTTTTTTGGTAAATATTTCAAATCTATTTTATATTTACATTATAAGTAGTATTGTATTGAAATATTGAAGTAAAGAACTATTCATTTTATTGTTTTGGTATACTGTACAATGAAATAAATGTTGTTTTAATTCATAATAATAAATTAAATGATTTGAATTTAAGGTGATTTTTGATTATCCATTGTAGAATCTGGTTCAATAGATTCATTGATATCAGAATTATGATCTATTTTTAATGGATACAATTTAGATGTTGATAAATGACATGATATTTCTAAATTATTATTATTTAATTCATCTATTTGTTTTTGAATTGTATATTTATTTTCAGTCATAGTTGAACTTGATGGTTTATTCGGAGTTGTTTTACTATAATCCATAGATTTGCTCTGTGTAGCGAATCCCTGTTTGATTTTTTTTTTAAAAAAAGAAGAAAACAAAAAGTAACGTAGAATTAATATTGGTTTACTTATCTGAGTAATAACAAGGGATCTTAACAATGTCATTATTTTATATTATAGTGAAAGAGATAGGAAGTAAAAGAAAATTCAAGATGGTCATGAAGTAACTCTTATATTTCACGTTTCAATCCATCCATTACCACTTTCTTAACACTTGACTAAGCACTAGCTGTTTGAATGAAGAAAAAAAATCAAAATGAGTGCGAAACATTACTTTTAAAACTTGAGTACTAATATTTTTCAGAATAGAGTTGTGGAGATTATTAAGTTGTTGATTGAGATCATGAAGCGATCGATGTTAGACCACCATTGAAAGCCTGGAAGTACTGGACGGCCGTTCTGTCCTATTGTGGGACTCCTCAGAAGTGAGCATCCACGATTCTGCTCACGGGATTGGTTGAGGTTAGACATTAACACTGTTGGATGCCGTCTGTGGTTTAGTAGTTTGAGCGTTCGTAAGCGAAACTGAAGTCCCTGGGTTTGAGTCACGCGAGCGGGATCCTGGATGCGCAATGCCGAGAAGTCCCACAATATCAATAATTTTATCTTATGAATTGATTGCAGAATTTATGGAAACACGTGGATGATTTGGTGGTCATGAGTTCACTTGTATACAATAATAACCTGTTCACATTTGTGTTTCACTTGATGTATTACCTTGATGCAGTCTTGTCTACCAGCCTAAATAAAATATTGATGATAAAGGTCTTATTCAGTAAAATATTTGGTTATACTGACGGCAAAGTGTTGTTCACTTGAATAATTCAGTTCCTACCATTTATCTTTAACCACTGAAATCCAAATAAAATGCATTGTAATATTGAATTGTTTAGTTTGTCTATTATATTTCGACTTGATCAACAGAATTTGCTCAACACTAAGGAATAGATGACTTGACACTTCTTTTTATTTATACATCATGATTGACTGATATATTGAACGAAACATCGTTAGTTAATATGTGTACAGCTAGGAATTGAATGCCTATAACTTCCAAAAATAGTTTTATAATCCCTGTGATTAGCTCATTTTAATTGACTTAAACTACTTCTATGATAAATTGGCTAATTTAACAAAGAAAAAACGATTGATAGTTTATTAGCATGTCAATATTTATAACTAAACTTACTGATTTCAATGAACATTCAGAATTCTCTTCAAATGTATGGAATAATTGTTGAGTTTCTTTTGAAGGTGATAAATAACTTGTTTGATAATCATTTGATTTAATTGAATAATTCCATTGAATAGGATCTAATAAATTATTTGAACAATGTTTTATTCATTTGATGTTAATTGTTTAGTTTGATAAAGTTTTAATAATACATTACAATAATCATTGAGTATTTTATTCTCTGAACATGGAGAAGATTGTCGTTTTTCACAATTTGTAGCTTCATGTGTTCTTGTTGTTGTGATTGTTTTTTCTAAATTCCATCCAGTATTCTTTAAGTGTTCAGTATTCAATGGATCATGTGATGTTTTTGCATATGGATATATCATCTCATTAATATAATGTTTATTACTTAATGAAGAAAGAGGTATAGCTTGTTGTTGTATTTCATCATTGTTTGATGTGAATGCTTCACATTTTGGTTGTTTATTAAAAGTATGCCATGGTGAATTCACTAATTCCAAAGTATTTTGACTAGTAAAATTGATTTGTTTACGCCAACGAGCTCTCCGATTACTAAACCATACCTATATGAATAAATAATTTATTGTTTAGTATCAGTCAATGAGAAATCTGCGATGTAACAATATCATACAATCGACTTTGAATGATTCTTGAACCGACCTTAGGATTTTCATGGGAACAGATAGCTTATTTCAAGATGTCATCACTTAAAAACTGATAGAATTCAAGTTTCTTGTAGTATTTTTTTTCACGATCTTCCACAAAGTTGAATTCTGATTACCATGTCTTCTAGTGAGAACAATATGAAATAAGCTCTGTTGATGTACAAAATGTAACTGAAAGCTCTTTATATATAAACCATCCACCTAAGAGAACACAACATTATCTAAAATACTCACCCGAGTTGCGAAACTTATCTACCATTTCTTTACGATATTGAGATTTACTCTTCAGATATAATAGGTTAGTTATTGTCGTATCCCTGAATTATTAGCTTTATAGATAATAGATATCAATGAGGATGTTGAGAAATTCTTTTCGAAGCTAATAGCACTAGTAACCAAAACTGTATTATCGAGTTGGTATTAGATTGACATCATGAATCGATTGACGTTAGACCACCTTTGGAAACCTGGAAGCACTGGACAGCCGTTTCGTCCTATTGTGGGACTCCTCAGCAATGCGCATCCACGATCCCGCTCTCGGGATTCCAACCCAGGGCCTTCGATCTTGCGCGCGAACGCTTAACCTACCGGACCACTGAGCCGGCTTCCAATGGTGACAGTGTCTAACATCAACCAATCCACGAGATTGCGGGACCATCTTCCATTGTACTGAGGTAGATACCTGTCTCTACTCGACATGGATTAGCTCCACTGGTCACGGCTTCTCACTAGAACTCCGAGAATTCCCCAACGAAGTTATTCACTAGTGAGCACATGTTAATTACTAGTATAGGGGTTGTGAAGATTATTAAGTTTTTGATTGAGATCGTGAACCGTTGGTATTATCACGGCTTTTGTATGCCTTGGCAAAAATAATCTTTATTATCAAGTCAACTTGATTAAATATAATTACATCAAATTTGAACATGACCAATAGTTAGTTTCGTATCATAACATATCGATTTTGTACGTGATTTATACTTGAAATCGTACTTTGTCGTTGTGTCATAATTTAAAACAAAATATTAAGGAATGGTTTCGAATGAATCGATTTTCTTCAATGTGTTGCTCGTTAATTAACTCACAATTATTTTCAACGCTTTTGACTGATAATTCTTTTTTCGTTTATAGAATTTTGAAGAATCAATCTTGTTTCTAGTTGTAGTAAGCTTAGTAATATGTATAAATATGCTATGTGAATTACTGTAGAATATACGAATAGTGGTTTGCAGTGGAACCTACCAAGTCTGTTTCATCCTGTTTGGAGCTCTTCAGCTGGATTTACCTACAACATCCCAATATTGATGTTCACAATTGGATTCAAACTCACTATCTACCACTTCAAATATTTAACGCATTACCCATTGAATTATTAAGTCCAGATAGCCATTAACTTATTCATGTGGGGTGAAGATATCAGTAAGTTGTTTGTAACTTCTTGTTGGGTTCGCGTTTCAATGTGGACATTAATAGCTGGATCTAATGAATCTAGCTCAAGAATTCCACATTGAACAAAGAGCGGTTCTCAGATTCCTCTGTTAACCGTTTATCAAATATACTGAAATTTATAACACTACATCGGCGAAATCCACTCACGGTATATATATATATATATATATATATATATATATATATATATATATATATATATATATATATATATATATATATATATATATATATATATGCCAACAGAGACTAACTGGTTGCAGACCTGAATATCAACAATGGGGAACTATAAACATTCACTGATCAGTTGTGTTTTTCTAAAAATTATTCAGTCGAACTACTCTGTTCTCCGAAAAACCAACACTACTGGTTCTGATAATGCTAGCCGCAAGATTTCAAGTACCTACGTTTAATTATGTATTTGCGTCAGTGCTCTAAGAGTTCTGTGTATACACTGTTAATAAGTTTAAAATTATGACGAGACAGATGGTCAAACCATCATTATAATCAATGACCCTAAAGCTGCTATCATTTAATCATGTGAATCTCTACAAAATTCATTAAAAAACCTTGTAAATTTTAGTACAGTTTCTGTTGAACAAAATTATATAGACTAATATGAAACTGAAAATCTACCACTTATAACAGACTATTTTCTATTGAACTGAATGTTTTGTCATTGTTTATTTAAGATAAACGAATAACTATCGAATTATTACTATTTCAGTTATTTAATATTGACTATGGTAGAAAGAAAAAAATATATCTGTAATATTAAATGTCATCTTTAAAAACATTTTTCTTATTTATCCCAATGTTCTGGCTTTATATCTCTCAATAAAAATAAATAATAATGTCCTTAAGTTATAATGTTGTTAAGTTAAATGAAAAGAAGTCATGTTTCCCATATTTAGTTGCCTAGACAACTAGGCAGTCATATACCTGAATACTGATGGTAAAGTACGAAATGTTTATCTTTAATCGGATCAATACAGCCCTATTTGGAATGTGTCCTATTATTATTATTATTATTATTATTATTATTATATTATTATTATTAGTAGTAGTAGTAGTAGTAGTAGTAGTAGTAGTAGTAGTGGCAGTAGTAGTAGTACTGGTATTAGTATTAGTATTATTAGGTTTTCTAGTCATTGTTTGACAGTATCATTAATAAAGGAGTTTGGATGAGCGGAATTATTTAAGTCACAGAAAAGTATGTTATTAACACTAGTAAATTGCCTTGTCGAAAAGGCTTATCCAATAGTGAGGTATTTATTCAATAGTACAATGACTAAAGAAATTATTACGTTTAACTGGAGAAGTATAAAATCCTTGTTATTTAATTTAGTCTTTTATATGTTGCTACTTACAAGTAGTTATTGTTGTTAACGATAAATATTGGACTGTTATGTAACGAAGTTTCATAGATTTTCATGTTTGTTAACTTGATAGATAATATAAACTTAAGAGATTTCATACTTCCATAGGAATTAGATTTCAAAACAATCAGAGATGGATTTAAAGAATTTATTTATGAACTACCCAATTTTGAGCTGACTCGATTATATGGATGTATGGAGTAGATGAATGAGATCCTAGAAATGTGTCATGTTGTTTGGTGCTTCAAGGGTGGGTAGATACGGTGGCTGATAAAGTTAAAAAGCACTGATTACTAAATATTCACCTTTCCGATTTTTGCATTCAAAGAAAAAACGTAACTTAATTTAAAGGTTTCTTATGAATTACCTTCAACTATTTGATAGTAATTTTGAGCTTTGGGACGAACATGATACATTTAAATCATTTATTCGGATTTCATTCATCTACTGTTTCGGTTTCATACCATTCAACTTATTCTTGGAGAAATTATTCAATCGAACTAAATCATTGTAAGTGAATAAACATATTTCATTTTGTCTACAATAAGAAAAAGAGAACTTACTTGAATTTTGCATTCAGGTAAATTAGTCTGATAGGCAAGTGTTTCACGTAGTTGTAAGTCAGGATAATGTGTATGTTTAAAGGCTGATTCGAGGAATTCCACCTGAGAAAAACACAAGAATTTAATCATATATTCAGTTAATATCCATTTAATTCACAAAATGATATAGAAAATTTATGTGAAGAAATTTTTATAAAGAATTATAACAGAAGTTTTTGTGGATATTACAGTAATTTTAATAGTTGAGATCATGAGTCAGTTGAAGCTAGACCACCATGGAAAACCTGTAAGCACTGAATGGCCGTTTCGTCCTATTGTGGCACTCCTCAGGGATGCGCATCCACGACCCCGCCTCGCGGGATTCGAATCCAGGATCTGTCCGTCCCGCCCCAGGCGCTTAACCAACTAGACTGATAGGTCCTGGGTTCGAGTCCCGTCGTGGATTCGCACCCCTGAGTAGCCCACAATAGGACGAGACGGCCATTCAGTGCTTACAGGTTTTCCATGGTGGTCTAGCTTCAATTGACTCATGATCTTTTTTTAACATGTATCCCAATCATTGTAAAGGTGTTACGAAGAAGAGGGTAGCAATCGTAGTCGCTATTGATTTTACATGCTCTCAAATCAAATACATTATTGTATTCCCTTTACACAGTCTACATATCAATATTGATTCTCACTTTTCTAAATTCCGATTTAGAAAAGTCTAAATTTAAATGAAATTGGTGACGATTACTTTGTATCATTTTGATAATTAACTCACACAAATAATGAGTAAAATACATAAGGGTTACAGTTTCGAATGAGCTTTAGTAATCTTTAAAAAATTGCGAAAGGAGAGAAAAGAGCATTCTAGAACAGTTTTGGATATTTGTATTTTTATATGAAGCCTTTCTCAAAGTTGTAATATTAAATGAGAGAACCAATTTTCTGAAAGTCTGCATATAGAAATATGAATATCTGAAATTATTCTGGAAAACTGTCTATCTAAATCATATCTATCCTTTCTAAAATGTATGAAATTGAGATTTTGGTGGTGGGATTCACAAATAAATTACTATTTCAGTGATTTCAATTATTCCATATTCAGAGTATATCAAATGTTTGGAGAAATCTTCAAGGACAGTAAGTCTTAAACTTATCATCAACTTTTTAATTACTGCTTAAAATGTACACCTTTCGGTCTATGTAGTTGTCTAGTGGATTGCTTTCCTGAATACTTTTCAGTTACTTCAATAATATTAGTTTAAATAATACTTAATTAATAACAAAAATACAAAATATAAACCACTATAGGTGTATATTGTGAAAGAATAGAAAGATCTAGTGCATTACTGTATTTGTTCAGTCATTTACCAAGGATAGTCAGTGAACTTCGGATGAATATTTTTTCGTTATCATTTATCATGAGGTCATATCTGTTTGCATGAGATTCTACATTGAAGACAATCTTGATTTATAATTATACTACTAACGAGTAGTAAGAATTATTCTGTCAAGAAAATAGGACTTTTCAAAATAAGCTTTTCAAAAAATTTGAACTGTCTAATTAAGTACAAAAAGCTTGAGTTTATTCATTAACATTCATTTGGTAGTTTACCTCAGCAAACACGGTTGCAGGCAATATCAATGAAATCTGATTAGAAATTTCGAGGATGTCTTCACCAGATTTCAACGTTATATTAGAAAAATTACACACTGAATTAAACGTAGTTCTTCTATTTATTGAATATGGGACATTTATGGTCAGCAGTGGATAAATTCGACTGTAAGGGTTTGATTATAAAGTATTAAGTATAGGTCACAATAGAAAGTGATTATTTATAATTCAATTCGAGCTCAAATTACCTGTCAGTAGAATTAAAATCTAGTACTACGAAGCCCATACATAATTATTACTCCGGCAATTATAAATGACAGTTATAGACTTGCGATGAATAACAATAACATTGGATGTATTCAGTATCATAAATCTTTTCCCAGTAAGAAGTTACTAGTAACTACTGTAAAACTCTGCAAAAAAATTCTGTTTAACATGTATTCAAATCGTAATTGTTCGGAATTATAATTTCTAAAGATTTTTGGACAGACAGTATCTCCAACTCTTTGTTTATCACATATGTTTTTACCCAGTTTAGTTGCTATGACTATTCATTCCGTTAGTCGTACATCTGTTATATAAATTTTAAAATATTTATCACTCTTTTTTCAAAGTGTCGACAAATAGCAAAATATATCAACTTCTATGGCATTTCTCTTCGAGCCTTCTAGCATTTGTCCTCTCAGAAACCTTTTCTTATGACACATGAGTATATACAGTCGGCATTTATTAGTATTTAGTTAATAGGCTAACCAAAAATATTCCTTAATCGGAAAACAGGTGATTCAAAGTTTTCACCAACCAGTCAAATTCAATGTATGTGAATGCATACATATGCTAAAAACCGAAAACTCAGTACATCAATTTGATTCACTGTTCGCCTATTTGTTATGGACGTTTTCTAAACTCTGTGAGTTTGGGAGTTAGAGAGAGATATCATCATCAACGTCATCATCATACATTTATTGACCAAAAAAAATACTTTTTAAGAGAAAAATATTAAGTTACTTGTTTCTCAGAAAATGTTGTTCTATTTCGTCTTCCCATAAAATTAACCACATTGGAATCATTCAATATATCTTCATTTGATAACGGTGATCCAGGCGAACAAACATAACGATCATTCAAAGTTGTTGGACTTGTTTGTTGTATACAATTTCTCTGTATATTTATCTCTTCCATAGTTTTATAACGAACGTTTTGATCATTAGCTTGAATTATATCTGTACAATGTTCAATTAAATCATTATCTTGTTGACTTTGAGTTGTTGATTGTGAATGTAAATGGAAATTAGAGTTTTTTAGTTGATCCATTGATTCTTTACATTGAACAGTACTGCTTACAATAGATGGATTTGTTAAATTACAGTCTGTAGATGATTGATAAGAATAATCTTTGGCGTTAGTTTGTTTACTACACATCATTAAGTTAGTAGGATGTATCGTTTTGTCCTCAGTTGAGAATTTCAGATCTGTAGATATTTTTATTTAGGAAAAGAAAGTATAAAAATGTGGAAAAATCTAGAAATGATTGGTATTGTTACATGATTGTTGAAAATCATTACGAGGCCTTAAAATTTTGTTTTTTTTTACTAGAGTGGATTTATCAGTAAAGTGAATTAATGTTGATGGAAATGATGTTGCATGTTGAATAAGAGGCTGTATCACTCAATGTTACAGTTATAAAAATGATGGGGACCAATTCCTGATCGACTAAGTTTAGTGATAGAATTATCTAAAAAAAAGTGATTCCCTCAAAATTCTAGATAAAGTTTTATGAGGATTGTCAAGCGTCACAAGAGCTGGGCCTAGAGTTTCTTGAAGATTGTCAACATCAAACCATATTTATACTGACCCACCTACTAATAGATACTTCTGTCATAAACTTGATTTTCATCAACCTCGTCTAGTTGGCTTATCAATGATTATTTACATAAACAACGTGGAAACTAAATGAAGTCGGTTATGGGGACTGCTTACGGTTTTGTTGGAAAAACTGATTTTTACTCATATTGAAACACCGTATTAGAAATACTTTGAGTTAGGGGTGGTTGAAAACCAATTGTTAAACCCAAACGACAATTTTAAAATCATATAGTGTTTGTGGAGATCGTTGAATTTTATAGCTTACATCAGCGACTGACCTTAGTTAAACAAATACTGAAGACTAGGAAGCAATGGCAAGCAATTCCAACGTAGTATGTGACACCTCAGGTATGCACTCTCGACATGTAAATTGCTGGATACTGTCTCAATTGTCCAAGCTACCAAGCCTTCGAACTGAGAACTGAAGACCTCTGGTTCTACCCAGATGAAAATGTGTATACGCAATGCTTAGGAGTCTCATACTTAAATGAAACAGCCTTTCAGTTCTACCTGGTTTTCAGTGATGTAAACTATGCAATATGAGATCTCGTTCTATGCTTTTATCATCGATAACAGTAATAATAAAATCTAACCTAAAATAAATAAAACTACCATCGTCCAGTTACAGAATGTTCAAGTTGAAATGAGAAGAGTTATTAACCAACAATAAAATATTGAACAATGAGTTTTTACAGTTTCGTTATTTATCAATATCTTCTTTATCATAGATACTAGTTAATTAGTGATATAATTATTTAAATTATGCTTTAGATTTTTGAACCTATCAACTTAGAAAGATGGCTATATTTGACAAATATTCATGGATGAAATCAGTCTTTTTCAGTTGTAAAATGTACTCAATGTGATTAAGTTAGTTCATGTCTATGTTAAATGTTAAATAAACATATGAATATTTTTTACAATTGATTGGTCACTGGGTGATGATCAGTGTCATATATGTCAGGTCCTTCTTAGTGCAGATTGAAACCTATCGATCCTGTTGCAATGTGGCCATCAATCTAGGTGACTCAACATTGCGTGTACTATTTTGAAATAAGATGGTGTTTGGAAGTAGTCAACAGGAAACTCTGGACCTAGATTTCATGCTAATTGGGACTTGTCAGCAAGATGTACCTGTAATCTTAGGGGAACTGATGCTCCCTGACAGATTCAATCCCGTGTCACCCAGCTTGATCGATAGGATTTGATCTACCCTAAGAAAGACCTGATATAAATGACATTGTTCATCATTCAGTGATCAATTAATTATAAATATAAATCAGTCCTACAGGAGGTCTGTCGTGTCCCGGATAACTCAATGATAAAGTCTCTGACTATGAAACTGGTTGACACGGGATTGAATCTGTCAAGGGCATAAGTTCCCTCAAGATTACAGGTACATCTTGCTGACGAGTGCCGATTAACACGAAATCTAGGTCCAAAGTTTCCTGTTGACTACTTCCAACTACCATCTTATATGAATATATTTATCCGATTGGATTATTTAAAACAAAACAAAACAAAAAGAAATTAATTTCTTAGATGAACATAAAGAGATAAGACAACGTGTTATTAAATAAATTCATGAGATTAAATTTATTAATAGCTAATATATATTGTAACATTGAAATAAATTTATTTGTTTAACTGTGGTATATGTCAAGTTTGTTAGTGAATTTTCTAAGAGAAAAATCAACAATATTATTTAGTTACAGTATAATTTTGTCATTTAATCACTTCAACAAATATATAAATAAATTAATGTGCTCATTCTTTACACATACATACATATATACGCATATATGTAGGCTTGGTGTAACAGGTAATTCGATTGACATTATTCAGTAACTTCTCTAATTTATGTACGTGACTGTGAATTAAAAGTTAAAGATGAAATGATATTAAACCACTGAAAAAAGAAATTACAATAGGATAAACTAAAACATTGAAGTATTTATAAAGATTATAAACATTCAACGTTAGCTAGTTATAATTAGCATACTATGGGACTATTATAGGACTCCTTAGCAATGCATACTCACGATCCCGCTCGCAGGACTCGAACCCTGGGCCTTCGGTCTTGCACGCGAACGCTTAACGTTTAGAAATCATCAAGGTGTGTTAGAGTGTAAGAAATGATTATAATGGGGGATATCGTAAAAAAGACTAGTTTTAATGAATGTGGTTTTAGGAGAAAGAATGGGATTCCTCAAAATATAAGGTATGAAGTAGTTCTAAAGGAAAATAAATAGGGAATGCATCTGTACCGTTGCTACCGATTCTGAGACATTTAGCCTGAAGTCTACAACTATCAGTTACAATAGCGGTGAGGACAACAACTAAGTAATCTGCACTTAGCAACACAGTTCAGTACAGGAGTTAATTAGTTTCATGGACTGATGTCTTGTGGTGTTTTGTCAGGCTCTAGATTTCTTACACCATCAAACATAGCGCGTCAATGTTGGAGGTGCTTGGCGTATATAAATCAAATTTAATCCAGACAGAAAGAGGCTTCATCCTAATTCGATTACGTGTTTTGTCATATCAGTCGGAATAAACAAACAATATTTATGATTTGCAAACTGAAAATTTAGAACTACAGCCATGGAACCCAAAAGTTTGAACAGATCCCATTGACCTTAAAACGTGAAGGTAGTGAATTCGTTTCCCAGTGTTCTGTAAAGTTCTAATCCCATCTACTTGCATTTGTTACTCATCGTGGAGGAGTATAGGCCGCCCACCAAGAGTCTCCATCGAACTCTATCCTGGGCAGTCCCTCTCAGTTGCTCCAATCTAAGACGAAGTCATTGTTCAACCCATACTCCTTTCCAATAGTTTTCCTGCATATGTCATCTCGTGATACATAAGAAACCAACCTTGTAAACGTAAATAAAATGACCAGACATATTTTATTAAAATTAGAGAAATATTTTATTCTAGAATAAAGTATTTTGTGAAGATTTTTTGAAATTTGTAGGTGATAATCATCACTGGTTGATCTCATTTGATATGCCATTGAAAACCAGAAGGCATTGAACAGTTATTTTGTCGCTAGTATCATTGAGTGATCGTAAAGGTATATAGTGAATCGATTGGTGATTGAAATATGAACAGGCCAACGTCGAAACACTAGTTCTAATAGCTTGGTGTTGAGCCCAAAACCTGAGAGTCCTAAGTTCGACCCTTGATGAATTCATATATACACTATTGGGGGACTTCAAATTAGGTACCCTAACTGAAATTATCCCTTGGCGAATGTTGTTAGGATCCCTCAAGAATTCCTGCATGAAATCTTAAAAAGCCAAGAACATCCCGTTCAACAAGCATCCATTGGAAACATAATGAAAATTCTTAACGAATTGATGGATTATGTATCACGTTATGCGTGTATAACTACCAACTCCTAAAAGTTACTAATAAACTGATAAATACCTTTATTTTCTGTACATTAATTAACCTTAAAGCAAAACCTCTGTTATTAATAACCACCCTTTTTTGCCACTGTTCAAAGCTCAAATATAGGAGAATTCTAAGGATCTAAAAAACGACCAAGAAGTTATAATCAAAAGTTCGAGTAACAGATTTACAAACTATCCCTAATAAGTGTAGTAGTCTATAAACGAAATTTACTACGAAAGATTTTCATTTTACTTTTTAATTATTATTGGTCATTTTAATCGAATAATAACAAAACAATCTCAATGTAACAAATATGAAATAATCCATTTTCAACCTAAGCTAGACCACTACTGAAAACCTAGAATCACCAGACGACCGTCTCATCCTGACATGGGATCTCTCGGCGGTGCGCACTCACCACCCGCACGCGGAACTCGAACTTTGGGCCCTCGGTTTCGCACGTAAATGCCCAACATCTAAAACGGTATCCAACGATGTTAATGTCTAACTTCAACCAGTCCACGATATTGCGTAACCCTTCATCGATTGTCTAAGGTGGATAACTGTCTCACATCCGACACCCATTAAACTCCATTGGATCAGTGGAGTCCATTTGCACTTGAACCTCTAGTCCCATATAATCATCGTTAATCTCCATTAAATAAGAAATAGAGAGAGAATAAAAAAACGTGAAAATATCAATTATTTCTTTAGAATTAACAACTTAGCTTATTTTCAATGTAAAATGAATTTTTCACTAACTAATAATATAAAATGACATAGTAACGAAATATGATGAAAGAGTATAATTTTCATGACTTAGTAATAATCATACTAATATTGATAGCAATGATACGGGTTTACTTTCTTTATAATTTTATACACTTGTTGAAAGGATTTCCCTCTCTCTCTCTCTCCCTCCCTCCCTCTCTCTCTCTCTCTCGGTGCTACTCGTTCATTTATTCATCATCTACTCATTCATCCCCCCTCTTTTTCTTTTCCTTTCAGATACATTTATACATTGAAAAAATTTTCCTCTTATTTAATGGAAAACATTCGGAAAATATTTTTGTTAAATTTAATCAAAACTATAAACTGCCCGTACAATAATCATTGAAATATGGATAAATTTTATTGAATTGAATTTATAAAAAAAAGTTAAAAAGGAACTTGTTACCGTGGTCTTATTGTCAAGTATAAAATGATT